CCAGAAACGAAATGAATGATTTCAAGAGTTTAGGCCATCTTCCAGCTTCTCGCCAGAATGGTGATCGATCTTCTCCTTCAGCATTGTGGGCTGTGTGACTATCCAGCACAGGTGCACAGCCAGCACTGATTTGGCCTGGACGGCTCAGGATAATCACCGGAGTCACGACAAACGTCTTCAACAGATATATCCTTGACACTGAAGCCCACGCTGTTCCCAGGAAGAGCTTCACTCAAAACTTCATGGCGTATTTCAACAGCCATTACTTCAGCTCTAACGCCAGTCCCTACTCAACCAACTGGGCCAGTACCAATACCACCAATTTCGTAGACATCCTGGAGCGGCAAACACAAGGGCTTGTCGGTTGGACAAGTTGGTGACAGAATGCGTGGTTCCACTGACACTGCGATCGTCACAGGTGACTTTCTATCCAATCAAGGCAGGTTAGCACTTGGCCCTAGCACAGCTGTCACCATTCCAACCAGGAATTGGCACAAATGCTACTGTGTCAGGGTTGTAGCCAATTTTTTTAACGTAGGTGCTGACTTCCTTAATGATTTCCTTGAATCTCTTCCGGCTGAAGGGTGGCTCTTTCGAATCCATTTTATTCGTACCCAGTGTGTGAGCCAGCAGGGCATGCCCACGGGTCTGCCATGATGGAGATCCCTTCTACAAACTCGCCAACACCAGCAGCAACGATCAGGACAGCACAGTTAGCTTGAAATGTGCAAGCTATTATTATTAGTCTCGTTTTACAAGTGAAAAAAATGAAGCACAGAAAAATTAAATAACTAGCCTAACGAGTGGTAGATCTAGGATTTGAACCTAGGCAACCTGATTACATTCTTAACTTCTAAACTCCACTGCTTCCCAAGAAAAAAGAGACACTCCAAGAAGTAAACTTCACAAGCTCTTATACTGAAACATACAGCACGAGCATCTGCCTAGAGCAAGGGTTCATTACTGGGACAGGGGAGAGCTGGTGACAAGAATGAGAAGGTTGAGATCAGACGGCAGAGGACTTCAGTACCTTCCCAAAGGGCTTGGATAATGGTACTGCAAGGGAAAAAACTCAGAGAAGGCTGAGTGACATGATCGCATTCCTTCTTGTTTTTTTAATGTTCGATTACCTATCTTAGTTTATATCATTTATCAATATCCTCATCTGTAAAATGAAGATAATAATCTTTGCCCCTAATTACATAGTTTGAGAATCAAAATTACAAAGATGAAATCTGTTAACTCATAAAGCAATAAAGAAATGTACGTTAAAGAATGATTAGAGCAGTGATCTGATAACAGTAACTTGTCATAATAGCAGGAGTAACCGTCACCATCCTCCTCATCACAGTGGCAGCTAACATTTATTAAGTGTTTACTGTATGCCAGTCACTGCTCTAAGCTCTTCACGTCTATTACTAACTCATCCAGCTCCCACGCTCTGTGGGGTAGGTACTATTACTGGCTCCATCGTACAGGGAAGAAAACCAAGGTGAATTTAAATTGCCTAAAGTTACAGAGCTGGGAGGCGGCAGAGACAGGATTCAAACCCATGCGCCTTCGTTCCAGAACCTGTGCTCTTAAACCATTAAATCTCTGGAATCTGTGTACGTAGACCCAAGTGAATGAAAAGGATATTGGAAACTGAGAAACTAGTTAGAAGGCTGTTATAATAATACGAATACATCAAATAGAGATAATACAAATAGAGGTTAAAAGGTAGAGAGAAGAGGAGGAAGAAACAGCAGAAGAATCAGCCCCTAGTGACTGAGAAATGAAAGGATAAGAATTTAAAATTACTAAGGGGCAGTTATAACATAAGAAACTGTACGTTAGGCTTAGGAGGACTATGTGGTAGAACAGAAATAACAGAGAACTAAGAGTCAGAAAAATCTCAGTTCTAGTCTCAGCCCTTTTACTGAACTGTCCTTTTACTCTGGGCAATGTCTCAATTGTTCTGGGCTCCAGTGTTCTCATTTTGTAAAAAAAAATAACAAAATCCGATCTGCTTACCTGCAAAGCTGGTTACTGTTAAGCTCCAAATAACACTATATAACATTTCAATTTCTAACATATTTTCACACAAATTATAGGAGTTGGGCTTTATACAAATATAAGGTGTATTATTGTTTTAGACATTTTGAGCTGAATATCATCATGTAACAGTGAAGCCGTAATTCCCAGAAAGTAGTTGAAGACGGTCAAAACTCCAGATGCAGATGCAGCAGTTACTAGCACACGGGTGGCAGGGAGACCCACGGGCAGAGCAGCCTCCCGGAGAAAGTGCGCAGGCAGCAGACGCGCAGTCTGACCGTGCAGTAGGAGCGAGAGAACTGCCAAAAGCCAAACTCCAAACAGTTTCCTAACGACTAGCTGCGAGGACATCAGAAACCCTTCTTATGTTGGATTTATTTCAGAGTAGCAAGCTCATCATTTCCCCAAATCTGTCATGACACCTTTTCCAAACCAAGGTCATACATACAATTCTCTCTTAATCATCAGTCAAAACGAACAAATAAAAAGCAAAAACACATTAAGCTCTGATAACAACTAGCGCTAAGTTCACTTTTCAGTTCAATTAAAGATGAGAATTTTAAAGGAAAGATGACTGCCTTTTATAAAAGTCTAGGGTAGCAACAGGTCTTAGGAAAGTTTCACCTACTCCCACACAATCCTGATGTGATATAAGCAAACCTGCAGTTATAGGGCTTCTCTACGATCTGTACACACATTAAACCTGCAGTTATAGGGCTTCTCTACGATCTGTATACACGTTGTGTGTGTGTGTGTGTGTGTGTGTGTGTGTGTGTGTGTGTAAAACTTATTGGTGAAAAAATAAAAGTTATGGAAGTGGAAGAACAGTCCACAGTGTTCCAAGTGGTAACTCAACTGATATTCGTAAAGATACTTCCTGTGCTTCAAATTGAAGTTTCAACTATTCTGTTCTCACAATGATGTACACATTCAGATGGATTGGCATCTGTCCCTTAGCTAGGCGCTCTAGGACAGAAACGGTAAATAAATATTATCAGGATGCTTTATCTTCATTTATGCCCCTCCCTCTCATATATTTTCATGACAATAATAACTAGCATGTCTAAAGCAAAATCTCCAGGCTCTCAGCCTATGCAATTTCAAACCAGTGAGAGGATAAACTGAAATTTAATAAAAAGGAACTGGAATAATTAGATAATTATTTGGAAAGCAAAAATTTCTCAACCCATCTGAAAAAACTTGTTTCCCTCTTCAGTCACCTCTCTCAACATGACAGTGAGTCCACTCCCTTGTAACTTTTAATCAAGTGAAATTAAGTAACTCCTTAAAGGAACTAAAGGAATAAAATAATGTAATTCAGAGGCCTCTAACAGGATGCCCGTGGCTCAAATTTAGTCATCAGGTATGTTTTGTTTGGCTAACAATATTTTCTTTTTTAAATGTGATTTAGTTTCATTTAAAACTTAGGAGATCCACGTAAATCTCCAGATTTTGACCTAGCTTAAAAAGTGAGAGAAGTCTCTGGAAGGTCTGCAGCATGTGTTAGCACTGGCTTCATATCTACGGCCAACTAGCACTGAGTAGCTGTCGCCTCTTTTAGATGGGTTTCTCCTCACATTAGACCCACTTCATTCATCTATATCACCTGCCTGGCACTTACATGTTTAATTAGTCACTGCTAGCATATATAGGAAAGCTACTGCTTTTCTATGTTGAACTTGAATCTGGCTATCTAACTGAAACCTCTTATTACTTGATTCTCTGTAGGCAAGGGGTGGCGAACTACCAACCTTGGGCCAGACCTGGCTCGCCGCTTATTCTGTACACTGTTTCACTGGAACCCAGCCACACCCATTTGTTCATGTGTCACCCATCGCTGCTTTCACGCGAGAATGGCAGAGTGTGAGTGGCTTGGGTGGGAATTCTATGGGAGCCCGCCCCCACTGCCTGTGCCACCCCCAGGTAGCTAAGAGCTGAGGCAAACCACTTAAGCTGAACCAGTTTCCTCCTCCTTGAAAAGGGGTAATAGTATCAGCCACTTTATTATAAAGTTGTTTTCAGGAGTAAATGACACTTAAAGCACACGTAGCACTTGGTAAGATATCTGGTCAATTTCAAGTGCTCAATAAATGCCAGGAGCTATTATTGTTATTATTTTATGTACTTCTGACATGTGTATAAATCTTGATTACTTAGTGTATCCAAGTAGGAAACATATTTTAATCTTTTGTTAATACCAAAGTACATATCTCCAGTTAACAATCCAAAGGAAACAACAAGGATCATTCAGTTCCGACAGGGTTAATACTAACAAATGAATCAATAATATATAATATTCATTTATTTATAGAAATGTATTATGCTAATAAATATATATTTTAAGGAAATATTTAGCTATTTTGATTGCTCCATTTAACTATATATCCTACAATTTGTGTGTGTGTGTGGGGGGGCATGTGTGTGTCTTGTACCGAACACCTTACAAATATGGGTGAAATGCAAGAAAAACATTTAGTACAAGGCAAAAATAATATCAGATCTGTGTTCTAGCACTTTAGGAAATGCTGGATACAACCCTGCTAAGAATGGAGTGCACCAATAAGGAGCTGGGAATAAATTTTTTCATTTCCGTTTACTTACACGGATTTCATGGAAGGGACAAGATTTTAGAAAGACTCTGAAAGAAATGTGTAAAAAAAAAAACCCACAAAAACAGAAAGAAGTACAGCCAAAGAATATGACCAGGAGAGATATATATATAGTCAAGTTAGGAGAGAAGAGGCAGACAGTAAATAACAGACAATCTTCCAAAAAGGGAAGAAAGAGTTTTTAAAAGAAAAATGTGTATATTCACAGGAAAGTTACAATGAACAATTTGGGCAAAATATCGTTGGATCTTCAAGCATGTGCAACTATTATAATTCTTACTAATAATGGATAAAAAAGGAAATGAAAATTCTCAATTTTATAAGCTTACATCCCAAAGAGCATAACAATTTACTTACTTCACTAGAGCAGCTGCTTCTGGAAGTACATCAGCAAACGATTCACGGAATATGATTGCGTTTTTCCTTTTACAATTCTGTATGACATCATTGGCAAGGTAAAAGAGATTCAAACGGTGAGGATAGGCAGCTAGAGATGACAAAAGACAAGAAAAGCAAATGAGTCCATTTATATTTAGTGTAACTTATTCCAAATACATTGTTCTCAAATTGTTTAACTGCTATTGGATGGGCGGATGGACAGACGGACAGAAGGATAGATGGAAGGATGGATGTAAATGGTTGGCACTAAAAAAACTCATTAACTCTGAAGAAGCTGAAACAAAATAAAACGGTTCTCCCCAACATTTGGGAAGATAAAAATTAAGTCAAAGCAGCTCATCTTGTTGCAAAAACACCAGGGTCAGTGGAAAGAGCGTGGCCTTTAGAATCCACAGGGAATGTGACCTCAGGCAAATTGCTTAACCTCCTCCACACAGTTATTGTGGACAGGCTCCCTTCATCGACCAGTCCAGATACCACTCAGATACACCCAAGTCCTTCCATCCACACTGGAATAGAGGCTCTGCTGCTACTTTCACCACCAGAGGAATGTTCTGGGAAATAAATAACGTGCTCCCATAAACACATCTGGGTCAATCTTTTTCAAAGGCCCATGACAAGGCCCAATCCGTCTACTATCTGGAACCCTGAGCGACATCATCCGAGTTTCATTGTTATCCTGGACAATTTTAATGTCCATACAGATGATCCACAACATTGTCTAGTCTCTCAATTTCTCGACCTCAAAGCCAGTGACCCCCGAGAACCACTCCTTTGTGTATTTCAAACTCCCCTCTTCTAACCAGAACGTCCCACTCTCACTGCATTTATTCAATTTTATCAAGATCTCAGTTCTTTATTTCCTCTACGGTCTCCTCCAGTGTTCAATTCTTTATCAATTCCAGGGTCTCTGATCCATATTTAAACCACTCTTTTAGCCAAACCTTCATGGTCTTTACTTCCTTCCCCAAATTTGGCCTTTAGAGCACGTGCATTCAACAACGTCCTAAATCTGAATCAATTTAACTGCCCCTACCGCATCTTTATTTCCGCTCCTGGGTTCTGCTGAAGAAAAATCAGACCACCCGGAGGACTGAAACCATGTCAGTTGAGTCTCCGTCAGCGGCCCCGTGCGACACCCCTTCCACACGTGCTTAATCGACATCCCCTATCATTTGTTGTAAAGACTGTTTCAAATTTTACCACTCTTGTCAAGCCCCCTGTGTTACCACATTCCTTCTCCTCACTCTCAGGAGATAAGCTTATATGCTATTTCACAGAGAAAGCAAAAAGTATTAGAGGGGAATGCTATTCTCTCAAAAAACATACCCATATTTACACCCATCCAGATCAACTCATCTAAGTTAAAATCTTTCAGAATCAGAGATCTGAAAGAGTTTTATATACTGTCTCCACTTTAATTCCTATTAACTCCATAATTACAGAAGCTACCTTTTAATTCTGTACCTAAAACATGCAATCTACTATGCTCAGAGCTTTATAGACATTATGCTATCTCGCTTCGGTTGCCATCACCCCAAACAGCAACCACCAAGGCTGCCAATAAATTCCAACGTATTAAAACCCAATGGAGATTTTTTCAGTGTCATTTCTTTATGGCTTCGGCACAGGGACATCTGTTACAGTGACTCCTTCTTGGGCTTCTGTCACAGCGTCCTCCTGACCTTCCTCCTGCCCCTCTGGCTCCTCCTCCACGCACACACAGGCAGCAGCAGCTCTGCCTGCGGTCACCCTGCTCTCTCAATGGTGATGCTCGCAGGTTCTCTCCTGAGCGCTCTTCCCTAGTCACCTGAGGCACAGTGTTTTAAGATTTGGGGTTTTAAGTCAGATATTTGGTTCAATTCCTGGCTGTCACTTATTAGCTTTGGGATCTCCTATATCACTTATCTCTTCTATATCTCCCTTTTTTGTAAAATGACAACTTCACAAGTTGTTTTAAGAAGTAAATGACACGACATATGTAAAGCATTAAGGACACCGCTTAGCACACAATCAAATGCTATCGGCATAGTCATCCACTTCCACGCCTTCAACCACTACCACCGATGTAGCCAGGATTCCCGCAGCCAGGGGCATGGAGCCTGGATTTCCCCTCACCAGTCAATGCTAAGTCTCAGAAGCACCTGGAGTTTGATTTCTCAGTATTTCACTAATAACCTTCCTCGTCTTCCATCTGTTACGGCTGTTGTATTTAGTCGGAACTTTAGCAATCTTTTTTGATTCCTCCTCTTCCCTACCTGTCACCCCCACTTGATAAATTTCCGCATCCAGCCAATTTGTCTCCAAAAATATCTATTAAATTTATCCCTCTTCTCTTCCTTCTACAGCTCTTTGATGGATTCATCACCTGTAACCTGGATTCCTACTGCAATAGCCTAACTGGCCCCCACACTTGGTCCCTTCAGATTTACTCCCTACATCTTCTAATATGCAAACACTATTAAATTATTTCTCATATCAAATCTGTCAATGATTTCTAACTACATATTGGTAAATGCCCAAACACCTTAGTCTCCATTTACAATCTGGATCTTCACCTTCTCTTCCAGGCTCATCTTTTTCCCCTTCAAAATCAAAGTTCCATCTTTAATGAATTACAGTTCCCAGAAACCTCTCCTCATTCCTCCCTTCCTCCCTCTCTCTCATTCTCTCTCAGAATTTTCCTTTACTATGATAACCTATCCTGAATAATCTTCAGTATTTTCTACTCATCCATAGGAAAAAATCCAAAATTTTAAATTTAATTCATGTCAGATTCTAACCGTCCCATCTCATTTCTACTTCTTCCCCAAATAAATCACCTCAAACTATTTTATTGCCAGTGTTCCCCAATGCGAACCTTCCACCCTCGTCAGAGCACTGAAGACATCCAGGAGGAATGAGAGAAGCCGACGAAGTAGTGTGGGAAGATGCCCGCGGGCAGTGGACTTTGAGGCCCATCAGAGCTCTCCGACCCTCTGTAACCTGGCTCTTGCTCGCCTGTTTGGCCTCAACTTCAGCCACGCTTTCCCTTAGAGCTCCAGTTCGATGATCGACACTTTGTTCTGGCCTCCAAGCCCTGCCCCCTGCTGTGTCTCCCTGCCCATTTACATAGCCGAATTCTTTTCTTCCTTCGGGTCTCCTTGGGAAGGATTAATTTCCATCAGCTTTAATATGACTTCATTTGTAAAACGAGGACGTTGAAAGGAAAACAAAAAGAAAAAGCCACATGGACAAAAATGTTATTTATAACTGTAGGAAAACTATAAGTACTCTAAAGAATAACAAAAGGGAAATAAGTAAAGGTACATCCATAACATATGGTTGATAAGTATCTGCAAATAACATAAAGATGCTTGCATTAGAATTAGTAAAAAACTGGATGATTATTTTCTAAATCTCCTATAATAGTCATATGATTTTTATATTAAAAAAGGTGGCATATAAGGTAAGTAATTTGTATTAGATTACCTATAATATACCCTCTGGCTTTAATATAATAACTAAATAAATATTTATTTGTGAAGATATTTAGTACAAATTATGGCAGTGCCACACAAACAAAGAATCCATATCTTCTCTTTAAAAAGATAAATCCTCCAACTTCCATAAAATCACTTAGTTGCTCTGCTGAGGGTTAACAAGAAAAAAAATAATTATCTGCTACATCAAGAGAGCAGAGAGACCCCTGAACTTCAGAGAAAATCTGAGTGCCACACCGTTCCACCACTACGTGGGAATGGTCATACAGCATGTAAACTGGACACTATGAGTGAAAGGGGTGCTGGTCACATCAGGAGACAGGGTCACCTACGTGTCCTGCTAAGTCCTAACCTCGGCTGTATTGTATAGAAGTCAGAGATGTTTACTTTGTTTACTACACTATTTATTAAAAAAAAAAAAAGCCTACTATTCTGTTTGGGGGTCATATTTATAATTAGTTTATCTGGGAACAGATTCATCAACAAGCTTGCCCCAAACTCCCTCCTGATGAAGTGTCCTTGTTGGGAACGTATTCAATGATACCATGGCTATGAGAACGCTGGCATCGCATGTGCCAACCCCAGTAGCCAAAAATCTTATATTAATATCACACGCTTCATCAAATGAAGTACAAAGAATATCCCAATACAGAAATTAGAGATCTCAAGAGCTATAGGTTAATGGAAGTCACATCATATTTATACTTAACTTACAAGAATTCATCTTTAAGTACTTAAAAGTTTCAGAGCAAAAACAATTAACAAAGTTAAATGTTCAGAGACAAATGCAATTAAATTTCAGAAAGAAACTGGAGGTCACAGAGAAATACTGACTAATGAAGAACTGGAAGAAATAATAAGATCATCTTCACAAATATGACGAGAAACAGAAGAACTAGCAAGTCTGAATCTCCCTAAATTTGCTGGTGTTGCAAACACCAAAACATTCAAGTGATTTAACTTCTCAATGATTCCCTCTACAGAATTCTATACTACCAATTACAGTATCCATCACACATATATGTGTCTGTACAAGGTTTATCAAAAAAGCATCGATATTGTAATCAGTGAACAAATTTAAAGGCTAATCTTTTGTCTTAAGTATGAATTTCAGAACTGGAATCCGAATAAAAGTACTTCAATGTTTACTGAAAGAGCCACATTTAGACTAAAAATTTCAAAGTTGTCTCAGTATTTGTAAGGCATCAACTCAGAAGTTCTTTAAATAATTTACAGTCAGAACATTTGTTAAATATCATTATATACAATTATCTAGAAATCTACTAAATCCAAACAGTCCCCAATTCTAAACAGAAAATTGGTCAGTGTTATCAGTGATCTGTAAAGAGCCGAAAACAAACAAAACCCTTAGAATCCGATTATCCACCAATAGTGGAGTTGGTTTATTAAATTCAAAAAGTTAATTATATATGAAGACCATACAGAAAATAGAAAAATGGTTTACATACTGAAAGTGAAACAAAAAAAGGTATGTCAACTTCACTCGTGGTACCTGCTTTTTTCCTACATCTAAGTCCTGTCAATCCAGCCTTCTGCTAACTGTATTTTCCTGAATTTAAGAAACCACTGTTTATAACATGCACCA